CACAGTTTACTCACAGATTACACACACAGATCACACATAGTTTACACACAGAGCACACACACAGATCACGCACAGTTTACTCACAGATCACACACAGTTTACACACAGATCACACTCACACCTCTCTGCTGTAATCCTCGGAAGGGCTCAGACAGTGCCCATCTCTCAGCGCTGGGCACACGCCAGGCTCTCGCTGCTTTCACACGTGATGAGGTGTCCAAACTCTCTCTCAGTGAGGCTCAGGCTGTGCTGACTCCCTGACCAGCACACTTTGGGATCTCACCTGTCCTTGGCAAATCGCATCCCTCAGCCACGATGATCTTTAACCCTTCCAGTCCAAACCATTCCACGATCCTGTAAATCCTGATAATTTTTGTGGCCATCAGCTGAGAGAGTGGGCCATTTGGAGGACGGGTCCTGCTAAGCACCCTTGTTCTCCCCTTTACTGGAGCCGTTCTCAGCTCACCACGTGCTGACCCTCTGTCCCCTCCATCCCCACTGACCTTTTCTGCCCTCCAGGACGCCCTCACCAACCTCCTCCGCCGGTCGCAGCTGCACTTTGTCCACTGCGTCCTGCCAGGACTGGGCTGGGAAGGGCCGGTCCCTGGGTCCCCAGCACCACTGGACACAGCCCCTCAGCTGGACGTGGTGGCCCTGCGGACACAGCTGGAGGGGACCCAGCTCCTGGATGCCCTGCGCCTGCACCGTGTGGGTACGTCCAGACCCTGCCCAGGGCTGTGCCCATCCCWCCYGCTGCTCCCTGCCCTTGGATCAGCYCTTTGTTCATMRCYTGCTTCTCACCAGCAGGCAAGGAATGCCCTAATTCAGGAATTTTCCCACTCAGAAATCCCCCCAGTTTTTATTCCTGCTTTTTGCAGGGGCTCTGAGCCCCTCTCGTGCCTGAGCTCTCTGGCTGCAGTTCCAGTGGAGCTCCCTCCTGCTCCCCTCATGAAACTGGACTTGCACTGACCACACTGACCACACTGACCACARATGCCATGGAGGGAGAGAGCTGTGCAGGAGGCTCAGGGCATATCCTGCCTGGCACGCGGGGCTGGGGTGGCATCTGGCCACCTTCAGCTCATCTCCCCGCCCTCACTGCAGGGGTTTCTCTCCATCCTGGTCCCCTCCGTGCCCGGTGCCCTTTGCTGTGCACAGAATGTCCCAGCAGG